ACTAGGAGCAAGGACGCTACTAGGGGCTCCTGGCCTTACTACTAGGAACAAGAAGCTACTAGGTGCTCCTGGCATCGCTACTCGGAACTGCAAGACGGCCTTTTGTGCCGATCCCGTCCAGGCGGTGCACGATGCCGTGTTGCGCTGAAGGGTCTCCGGAAATGGGGGACCTAAGAGATGCGGAAGAGATGCGCTAAGATGAGTTGATCTTTCTTTATCTTCCGACCTACTTAACTAAGTAGGGGCCTACTTAGTTAAGAAATGGAGAAGTAAGCTACTAGGCTAACTGAGCTTCTAGGTAGAATGCAGGATAGATAGCTCACGCTTCTTCATCAGGCGGGGGGAGCTTCCTTGAAGAAGCGCTCGCACTAAATATTTGGTTCTTAGATTGTTTGGGAAACTTAACTTTCTGTTTTAAGTCTTTGGTCTGAATATAGGAGGCGTCACAATCGAACCGTGTCATGCATTTGGAAGGTGGGGACAGGAAGGTGGGATCACATTGAGGTTGTCTGCTCTAGTCTCGGCAATACTGTGGACAATCATGGGCAGCACCTCGACTTTGATTCCTGTACCCTATGAAGCCATTGCTCGTAAACAACATGGAGCAGGCTACGATCTGCTTCCGCCGGGTGCCACACCATGGCGCCAGTTCTGATGATAGCCAAGAAGTGAGCTGCGGTGCTTCCTGTTTATTCACAAGACAATGGCGTGCAAAAGCCAGGAGTTTTGAACAGCAAGCCAATATACAGTAGGCTGATTGAGAATCTGGATGTGTCTTGAACAGCAAACCCTCCCAAGTTCTTTGTTCTTGCAGTTCCGAATCTGGATCGGCACCTCGAAAGTCGGATCTTCTTCGTCAGAGGAGTCATCCTCATCACCTTCGTGACACTCATCGAAAGAAACGATGATTCTTCGTTTCCAGCTTCTCATTCCTTCATACTCAATTTTATCACATGGGGTGAACACATGCAGGTTTGCAAGTGGATAGTGTGATGCTATGTAGCTGCTATCTAAACTTGCACAGCTCCTGCAGGCCGGCCTAAACGACCAGCAGTCTCCCGGCTGACGGCCACGGACTCAGAAAACCGACATGCTTGAGATAGCAAACCCTGAGACTTTGTGCTTCACATCTGAAGACTTTCTCCTTGAACGTGCTTTAAGGTTGGAGGCCCTATTAGATGGAACCGATGGCCTCCAACCTCAAACCTGCTTTTTAAAAGCCCTCCTGGATGGCGTCCGGGACTTGATCAGCCATCGACTTGATCCACTGGGCCACCGACCCAGCCACTGGGTTTGTAGATGAAAGCGATGCCAGGATAGGTCGCAAGCCTCAATGCCAAGAACCTTTGTGAATTCTCAAAAAGTCCCAATTCTTATGATAGGTAATTCTGTCAAAAGCGTTTTTTCATATACCTTCGCAAATGTTCCCAAAGAAGCAATTCAGAAGCCAAGCAGTCAACAAAGCTTGGCTCAAGAGGCAATACAAGGAAGGTCACGGGTGCTTTCGCGAAACACTCGAGGTACTTCGTCTCCGCCATCTGTGAGTGGTACTCCCGAATCTCCACAGTTCCTGCTTTCTCAAGCAAACAGCAACACTTTCTGAATGTCTTAAAGGTCAGAAGAGTTCACATCCAAAAGAATTGTGGAAAACCTATTAGGTTGGAGGTCATCGCTTCTAGGTTGGAGGCCATCTTTGATATTCTTGCTACTTCGATGCCTTAAATCTGGAATGCCGAAAGGTCTTACCACAGTCTCCTCGCATCTACTGGTGCAGCAATGCGAGCCAAAGCCGAGGCCGCTGCCTCAAAAAACCTCTGATGCAGAACGATCAAAACACAAGCAAATTCATGTGGGATGCGTGTATTATGGTGTACTGTATTCATTGCAGAACGATTGGAAAACAAACAACCATTGCTTGAGAAGTCGGTTTTGTTCTTGACTCAAAGTTCAAGCTATTTATACCAAAACCCTCAGCAAAACCCATCAAGGCAGTTGTATTGATTGAACTCGCCACAAGCCATTGCTTGCGGTCTTAGGTAGGATTTCATTACACATTACACACTAATTACTTTGTCATACTAGGAGCAAAGGGCACCGCTAGTAGGAGCAAGGACGCCACTAGGAACAAAAGGCATCGCTACTAGTAACAAGGGCATTACTACTACTAGGAACAAGAAGCTACTAGGAACAAGTGCATCGCTTCTAGTAACAAGTGCAAGTGCCTTACTAGTAGGAACAAGAAGCTACTAGGAACAGGTGCGTCGCTACTAGTAACAAGTGCCTTACTAGTAGTAACAAGAAGCTACTAGTAACAAGGGCATCGCTTCTAGAAACAAGTGCCTTACTAGTAGTAACAAGAAGCTATTAGAAACAAGAAGCTACTAGAAACAAGTGCCTTACTAGTAGTAACAAGAAGCTACTAGTAACAAGGGCATCGCTTCTAGAAACAAGTGCCTTCCTAGTAGTAACAAGAAGCTACTAGTATCAAGGGCATCGCTTCTAGAAACAAGTGCCTTACTAGTAGTAACAAGAAGCTACTAGTAACAAGGGCATCGCTTCTAGAAACAAGTGCCTTCCTACAAGTAGCAGTAACAAGAAGCTACTAGTATCAAGGGCATCGCTTCTAGAAACAAGTGCCTTACTAGTAGTAACAAGAAGCTACTAGTAACAAGGGCATCGCTTCTTGAAACAAGTGCCTTCCTAGTAGTAACAAGAAGCTACTAGTATCAAGGGCATCGCTTCTAGAAACAAGTGCCTTACTAGTAGTAACAAGAAGCTACTAGTAACAAGGGCATCGCTTCTAGAAACAAGTGCCTTCCTAGTAGTAACAAGAAGCTATTAGAAACAAGAAGCTACTAGGAACAAGGGCATTACGACGCAGTGTTGTCCCCGTGCATCTGGGCAACTCCGATGTATCCATGCCCAAGGTTTGGAGAGCACCAGCGAGGGCAGCCACCATCTCTGTGGGACAAGCCTCACGAAGAAATCGCGGAATTCAACATAAAAAGACACAGACTTGTGCAAAAACAATCATTTGCGAGACACATTGCGAGACGCATTCTGTCGCAATCACTGACCGACGTGACGGAAGTAATACTTCTGTTTGCCTCTGACGGAATGAAAATCCTGGGTCTGGAACGCCTCACCATGGTCTTACGTTATCTTTCTTTCAACCTTTCATAGTCTTAATAACTTTATCATATGACTCTTAGAATCCTTTAGACCTTTTGTGTCCTTCCATTTTTGTTTCTTTTCTTTGTTTAGTGACACCCATTTTCTTTGACAACTATAGTTACCACAATTACCACTCACCTGCTGCAAGAACGCTACTGTTCCTCTTGTGAGAAGAAAATGAATTCCTTCCAGAGCCCCGTTCGTAGCGTCCTTGCTCCTAGTAGCGATGCCAGGAGCCCCTAGTAGCGTCCTTGCTCCTGGTATGTTCGGCCAGTGTTCGGCGCAGAACCATTGCCTCTTTGGGCCCCATGTTGCACATCCGGAAGACTGTAGTGTCCAGCTTGGGAATTGCCGAGGAAGATACAGCATTCCTGAACACATGGATACACATCCAGCTCGCACTAGTCCCACTAGTGGGCTTGCTGGATGAACTCTCACCATGCCATGTATATTTATGTACTTTAACTATTGTGTTCAACATGCCCGCTCCAGCCACTCCATCGTCAAATCGCTACTGGCACATGGGCTCAACATTATTTCTTGCATTCCAGGTGCATGAAGGGTTCCTTGTGAATCTGCAGTGTAGCGAAAGACCATGCCATCATTGCCAGTTCCCGAAAGGGCATCTCGGCCAGTGGCGCAGTGGACGCCACAAAGCTAAACAGCGGCACCTAGGTGATCCATCGCTGTAGATGTGCGCATGAATTGAATTTGGTTCTTTTATTATAGTGTGTGTGTGTGCTCAATCACAAGTATTCACAGGAGAATCACTGAGATTTTGGACCTGCCGGTCAGCAAGCGCAGCATAGGTCCATGCAGTGTTAGTCAATCCTGACAATCCGCAGTCAGCAAAGGTTTCAACTAGCCTCCCTTCTCCACTTCCCAAACTCTCCAATAAAAAAGGACTGCAGGAGAGTGCTCCAAGCCAGCCAGAACTACTGATTCTACGTTTCATCAGTGAATTCCAGCTCCAAAGGACCGAAGCACTGGTCCTTGCGAAGTAAATTCACCGACCATCGCAGCTGCGGCCACAGCATCGAGAAGCAGCTGATTCCGAATTCCCAAGGTCCCAAATCCCCACACACTGTTTGCCAGTCCCTGCTCTGCAAAGGTCTGAGTGCGTAGGACCTGCAAGGCGATGGATTGGTGAGTTCACGCGAAGTGTCGACTCAACTGTCCACTACAGATGGAGGATAATTCCAAGTTCAACCATTGGTGTCCTTGCGAGATTTGAGGGCTGACCATCTGATCAAAAATGTACACCTAACGTGATATGCCACCGTGTTATAGAATTTTGCCAGCCGTCAGGAGCCCCGTTGGTAGCTTCTTGTTCCTAGCAGCGATGCCAGGAGCCAGTTTGGAAAGATCGCGTCCGAGGAACGACATAGCTGCCGATCATGTCCATGAGCACCTCCTCTTTGACTTTCAAAGAAGCATATGTTCATGCTCTGTTGGCCACGCTTTGGGAGTCGAATTCCGAGATCTGCTCCACGACCTTGGCAAAACGAAGTGAGCACCCTTGGGGTGTCAGAGTCCATATAAGCTGTTTGCTGTCCCCACGTGCCTGCGGGGCCAGCAAATACAGCAACGGTGGATCGTGGAATTGGAGCGTTCCAAACTTTCATGAAAGATTCCTGGGCTTCCAAAGCATCCAAAGGAAGAAACAACTTGCAGAAAGAAAGGAGCAATTAAACGAAGAAAGCAAGAAAGAATTGCACGGGCTCTTGGTCACTTATTGCCCAACCACTCCCGGCCTGTGCCGCACCGTCCTTCAGAAGCCTAGTTACTATGTAAAAGTATGTCAGTGTATGTCCAGAGCATAAAAACTAAACGACAGGTTGGTCGAAAAAGACAAGTGTCAGAAAATACCTACCATGTACCACTCTCATGACATGAGACCCCAATCTGCCAGGCAATGTCACTCTGCGCAAAAGATTTATGTAGAGGTATGCGAAGCTGATGCGTTGAGTTAGCAGTCCTGGTCTGCATCGGAATACGGTCCCAGTCGAGAGTAATTACACCGAGTCCAACTACATGCATTTTTAAATATATGCAATGGATTTGTCAGACTACATGGGCAACCACACCCCGCCCCGGGTCTGTTACTGCTGATATGAGTATAAAGGTGCAAAATATGTTGATAACGTAGTTGACTCATACTTCCTGTATTGTATTCATCTTGCCACGACGGCTTTGATTCACCTCACCGCTCGGAAGGAAACAGCCAAGGCTCGAAAGGCCTAGCGGTGCGAACTTCCTTTGGCGAGCACAATGTCCAACTGCCTTCAATATTTGCAGAGACTTTTTGCTTTTCAAATGACTCTTCAATCACTTCTTCAAACTTGAAGATTGCACTTCTTCGTAATACTTCCACCACAATTAGGTTCCTCGAGTCTGAGAAAGGATCCACGAGCCGTATGCCGACGGTAGTGGACAAACGGAGGCAACGGACTCACGGTCGTCGGGTCGTCATGACTGGGGAGCCCCAAGTAGCGTCCTTGCTCCTAGTAGCGATGCCCTTTGTTA